CGAGCGCGCCCGGCAGCTGCTGTGCCTTCTGCGCCAGGCGAGAGGAGGAGCGGGCGGCCGGGACGGGCGGGGACCGCGGGCCGGGAGGGGCCGGGGCTGCAGGCTGCCAGAGGGTGGATCCGAGGGCGAGACGGGCTGCAGGGGCTGAGGAAGAGCGCGGGCTGGAGAGACGGCTGGCGAGGCCGGCAGACTGTGTATGAAGGAGGGGGCCGCTATGTGAGGGCTCTGGGGTCTGTTGCGTGAGGGTGCCCCGGCCTGGAGCGTAGCCCACATGCAGGCCTTGGCAAGAAACGAAGAGGGCCGGGTGGGGTGGGGGATCATCTCTTATTGAAGGACAATGGGAAGAGGCCTCCGGTAAGATGAGGGGAATCCCTGGAGCCTGGGAAGTGGCAGCCCCGCTGGTCTGCGGGCGCGTACCGAGACCCCATGGCAGCACAGACAAAGCCACAAGGCATGCATGCCCCTAACGGGCAGCTGGTGCCCACTGAGCACACGAGTCTGGTGTCTGTACATCACAGTGACACTCTTGGGCAAATGAGGGCTCTGGTTCCACACACATCAGGTACCCTAGCCTGAGATCCTGAGCCTTGAGCCACAGGGATGTGGGTTCCACCAACACCCCTGGGGAACAACTTCTCACTCTGCCTAGTTCCCATCCCCTGCAGCGGCTGCCACCACCTCCTGCCCAGTCCTGTGAGCTGAAATCAGCTGTGCATGCAGGTGTTTAGCTCCAGGAGGTAGATGAGTGGACACGGGGGAATGGAGGCAGGGAGAGAAGTGGTGAGCCCAGGGTCCACAGAGGAAACTGGGAGAGGGGGAGACAGGATGAGAGCCTGCCCTTCCAGGCCTGCTGCTCCTCCAGCCGCAGGTTCCCTCTCTCTGGGCTCAGTGGGCTGGAAAGGATGGAGCTGGCCCTTTAAGAGGAGCTGTCCAGACCAGCGAAGGCAGAGTGCAGTCTGGGGCCCTGTCTGGGTCTGCCCAGACTCACCAGCCTCCTCTTCTTCCTGCTGGAATCTCCCTAGCTGCTAGCTGAGGCTCGAACCATGTTGAAAATACAAACAGCAGTGCACCACCCAACCCGCCAGTCTGTCCAGAGGCACAGACTGCTGTGTGGGATGGTGTCTGGAGCCTAAGGCACCAGCTGGGCATTTTCCCTGGAAACATCAGAGAGAGAAGGCCACTTGGAAACTACCTGGATCACCCAGAGGTTGAGATTTGAGGCTTAGCAAGGGGCTTCTTCTGCCCCATAACCAGCAGGAGTGGTTGCTCCTGCTGTCCTGCCTTTCTGTTCCCGGGACTACTGCGCAGGGCATGTCATTTGTTTCGGCTTGGGGAGGGCACACACAGAGGCTGGAGGTTCCTCCTGGCTGTGCCTGGCCCCTTAGCTGTCAGTGCACCCTCTAAATGCACCCTGTGGAAGGATGCCTCGCCCTATAGGAATGGAGAGCAGCAAGCAAAGCACAAGGGCAGGAAGGCCAGGCCAGTGCCCTGACCATAGGTCTGATCGAAGGGTAGAAGGGGCTGGCACAGGGAGTTCAGAGACTCTGCCAACTGTGTAAGTCTCTGATTTCATTTCCAGAGCACTTGATCTCCACCAAAGGGGTTCAGGCTCGAGTTCAGGTGTGTGTTTCATAGAGGTGCTCTGGCAGCCCTGGGCTGGAGGGTTGTAGGAGGCTGTGAACCCTGGGAGGTGGGTGCTGAGGGTTGAGACCTCGCCAGGAGCAGTAGAAAGGATAAGGTAGACCCACTAAGTAAGCTGGGGGAGAGAGGGCAGGGGAAAAGTGCTGAGTGACTCCTGGGAAGGTGGGCAAGGCTGCCCCTCCCTCCTTGCACTAAGCTGGTACACAGGACATGAGGCCTGCCTCAGGGCAGGGGATGAATGTGACGAGGCTGTGTTTTTGGAGCATCTGAGCTGGGAAAGAGACCCAGCCCCACAGGGCAGGGTGGTAGCTATAGCTCAGGAGACCTCAGCGATACCAGGGAAGGTACAGGGCCCAAAAGGAATCCTGGGGACATTGCCATTCAGGGGTCATCAAATAGGAAAGCTGCCACAGCAAGACACTCTACCACCTCCATCTGCCTGTTGCCTCCACGAGGGCCGTGGTCTGCCACCCCCTCCTCATCTGAAGGGTCCAGCTGCTGCTGTATCACTGCCCTGGGGAGACTCCAGCAAGCCTCGGGGAGGGAGATGGGGACACAGGAACCAGCCAGAGGGGATCTGGTTGCCCAGCCCCGAGAAGGAAGGCTCTATTGTCTGGCTCACACACCTACCTCTGCATCGCCCGCAGGACCTGGGTCTCGAGGGGACCCTCCTCACTGACATCCTCTACAGGAATGTGACCTTCCTCAACCTGGTGGACCCCATCTCCCATGACCTGCTGGTCAACCTGGCCCGGGACCTGCAGTGCCCCAAGAAGGTAAGGGTAGACCCATCTCCACAGTAGCATCACTCTGCCCCAGGCCTGAGGACACCAGCTGGGCAGAAGTCACGTGGGGACTCTGTAGGACACAACCTGCTGTGACAAATTCATTAAAAGAACTGGACTTACAGCCCCAGAGTCCCAGCTGCCCTAGGCTGGAGCCCCCGTTTACTGCTCTCTATCCTGCGTGAACAGCCTTAGGCATGGGTGCTCTCTGCGTCCCTCCCATGGCAGCTTGGGTCACAGGCATGTCCCTCCTCATGCTAAGCTACAGTCTGTCACCTGCAGCCTCCACTGCCTGCCCTGACAGGGTCTGCTGATGTCCCTCCATGAGCACGGACACAGCCCCAGCCTGTGTGGACCAGCAGCCCTGGTCACAGTGAATCCCCTACATGAAACAAGGGTGCCCACTGCAGGCTCTGCCCACTCTGGCGTCTGCATACAGTTGGCTACCTGCAGCTGTCACAGTCACCACCAGGACTTGCTGTCCCTGTGTGTATCGTATACTCCCGGGGCTATTCACAGAGGAACTGTATAGAGGAACATTCCAGGTAGTGGAGCGTGACTGGTGCCAGTTTTGTGGAAAACTCAGCCTGTGCTCCACCCCTGGCCTCTGTAGGGGCCCAGTTAGGACGGAGAGAGTCAGGATGTAGTGCTGTAAAACATTAAACCCCAGCCCTATCAGCCCAGACCCAGGCTCACAGGCAGGTTGTAGCCTGGAAAACGAGAGGAAGAAGAACGTGCTGACCTGGCTTGTTCCTATCCCTGGGATTGGCGTCAGTGGACCAGGGCTCCCTCGAGGGGCCTAGTCTGGACTTCTCCTGCGGCAAATCCCCTGGGGGTACCGAGGGTGTGCAGGCCACCAGCTGCTAGCTAGAGCCGCTGGCCCTGGGCCTGAGAACAGGGGACAAGGGCCCATTGTCTAGGCTTCCTCCCGCCGGGCACTGCGGGTTTTGGACCAGCCTGTCCTGCTCCCAGCAGGCAGCCTCCCCTGGCTCCGGGCCAGATCCAGCCAGGGTGGGGGTGAGAGGGGCTGAGTCTCACCCTGACAACGCTGCCTGCAAACCCACAGGACTACGAGCTCTGGAAATCCTCAGACAAGATCTGCCGGCAACTCATCTACCACCTCACCCCTCATTCCAAGCGGCAGCGAGGGCCCGGCCATCCCCAGAGGAAGACCCAGAGCTGGTAAGGGGAGCTGGAAAGGGGAGCCCCGCCACAGCCCCTCTTCACTGCGTCTGCAGTGTCCCTTCTGTCCCTGAGAGTCTGCTGCTTACAGCCTCACCCTGTCGGTCGCTCCTCCTCCTCTGCATTGAGTCTCCATTCCTGGAAGCCCATCTGGCCATGGCGGCAGACGCACCCCAAGCCAAGCTGCCCTCTCTGTATAAAATGCCTTCCGTTCCCTCCAGGATGGCCCCACTTCCCTTCATTCACTCATCCCTCCATCCCTAGCCTGTCTCAGGGCCTGGACCACCACCTGAGAACACTCCGCACAGGTCAGGTGAATCTTCACAACCACTGGTGAGGGAGGCAGGTTCTGTGTCACCACTGCCGTCGGACAGGGAAAGAAACTGAGGCTAAGAGAGGCAAAGTCTGGCCAAGACCACACTCTCCCGATTGTCCTGCAGCCCACTGGGAATTCCGTCAGCACCAGGCTGCCGGAAGCTGAGGCCTCTAGGCTACCAGACAGCTCACTGCTGGGTGCCCCTCCCCCATCATTCCATAACAGCCGCAGGCATACAGGCCCAGCCTGGAGGGAGCTGCGGGCTTGGGGCCCCAGAACCACGGCCAGAAATAGACTTTAGCACATGTCCCCTACCTCCTTCCTTCCGTCTGATGGCCCAAGAAGAATCCGGAGCCCATGTAACTGTTTCCTGCTGTGGTGGGTGGGCACCCAGGAGGCCTGTTCCCTGCTCTCAGATCCCCGGTCAAACCCATCTGCCTGGTGGGTTGTGCTCAAGGGAAGTGAGGGAATGAGAAATGCAGAAGGGGGCAAGAGAGACTCTCCTTGGTCCCTAAGTGTCCTCCCAACTCAGCACACAGGGACGCCTACCGCTGGACAAGTCCTCACCCACACCGGCTGAAATTCCTCTCTCACTGCCCAAAGGCCACGGGAGCCAGCCCGATACTCCATCTCCTCCTAGAAAGCTTTTCCTCACCCTGAAGGGCCTGACTTCAGGCTCAGGGGGAAAATGTGGGCTAAGGAGTCAGAGCACCTTGACGGGGGAGACCTGGTCCCCTTTAGTGATGTGTGCTCGTTGGAGTTATTTCCCCTCTCTGAGCATCAGTGTGCTCCTCAGTAGAATGCCCCCGACTTACAAATGACTCCATTCATAAGTCTGACAAAATGAGTCTTATATGAATCTGTGAAAGTTCACTACTCGAACGTTTGTAAATCGGGGGCTTATTGTGATAGTTCACGCGTGGAACCTTCCTCAGCAACCCTGTCCTCTTTCACCAGGAAAGCTGAGCTCAGAGAGGTTCCCGAACTGCCCATGGCCACCCATTTAGAAAGTGGCAGTTGGAACTTGACTACCAGACAGAGTCTCTCGTGAGTCATTGTCTATGGTCACTAGGGTCCTGTCTGGGCCTGGGGCCCTTGCTTAGTCCAGCCCACCTGCAATCTTCCCGCAGCCTCAAGAGTGGCCTCCAGAAGACTCTGCTGGTCGGGGAGACGGTGGACCTTTCGGGCATCCCGCTGTCGGCCCGAGATGTGCAGCATCTAACCTGCTACCTGGGCAGCCACGGGGCCGGGCTGGCGGTGCTGGACCTGAGCTTCACGGGGCTGAGTGATGAGCTCCTGCACCTGCTGCTGCCCGGCCTGTGGACGCTACCCCGCCTCACCCAGCTCCTGCTCAACGGCAACCGGCTGACGCGGGCTGCTGCCCGGGAGCTCACGGAGGCCGTCAAAGATACCGCCAAATTCCCTGCGTTGGCCTGGGTTGACCTGGGCAACAACGTGGATGTGGCCTCACTGCCCCAGCCCCTGCTAGTCGGCCTGCGCCGGCGGCTCAGCCAGCGCACCTCGCTCCCCACCATCTACGAGGGGCTGGACTTGGAGGCTGGGGATGGCACAGCTGGGTGCCCCACTGCTGCCTCTACTTGGGGATCTGCAGCTGCTGACCCGGGGCCTGAGCCCCAGGCCTGCTGTGCCAGGTGACCCGCCACTCACCTCGCTCTGTACTGCTGGTGGAGGATGCCCTCGAGCACATGAAACAGCAGGTGGTGGAGGTACCGCAGGCCCCCAGAGAACCGGTGAAAATGCGTAGCCTGGGAAAGCGGGGATGCGATGAGAAATGGTCTCCCAGGAGGCCAGACAGCCCGTTTAGGAGGCTCAGCCTTCGCTCAGCAAGAGGGGCCCGGGCACCCACAGCCCAGACCCCACAATAAAGTGATGACCCCCCCTTTGCCTCAGCCTTTCTTCCTCACAGACCTGAAGGTCCCCAAAGTGCCAGCTTGGCTGCTGTGGTGGGGCAGCCCCTGTCTATGCCAAAGGGAGGGGCCAAAGTCATGCTGACCTCCCCACCGGCGTTCCCGTATGGAGACCCAGGTGTGGCGGTCACGAGCCCAACAGTGCAGGCTGGGCATTTAGAGGAGGCCCTCACTCCTCGGCAGGGTTTGGGCTCTATAAGTAGGGGAGCTGAGGAGGAGCAGGCTGGGAGCTTGAGGTGGGGTGCAGAACTCTGCATGGAAGCCCACAGCAAGCTCGCATGTGAGCCCATGCTTCCTCAGGACCCCTTGGGCTGGGGACAAGGCGGCGCTGACTGGGGCGAGGCCATCGCTGACTGGAGTGGGAGGACTTGGGGCTGGCAGTGCCGCCCACACCCTCCAACCCCCAAGCCTATGGTGAGTAGGCAACTCAGCAGGGTTAGGAGATGCATCTGGCCAGAGACAAAAAGCTATGCATTTCCTTCAGGGCCTGGGGTCCCCACAAAGAGTACACTGGTGGGGGGGAAGGCGTAGAGGTAAGCACATTGAACAGCAGGGGGGTAGAGGTGTACAACAACCCTAAGGCTGCGCCCATAGGTGGCACTCTCTCTCTCCTCAAGGACCCAAAAGGTGGGCTCCCGACAGGAGCCTAATGCCATGATCACCCTCACTCTTCTATGTGAGGAGCTAGAGCTCAGCCCAACAAGCAGACAGGTAGGACAAGCAAGAAAAATATTTAGAGATGCCCAAGGGGAAATGGAGGCCCAGAGTGGGACAGCCAGTGGCCTGAGGGTCCAGGGCTGAGCCAGGACATGGGTCTGGGGGCATGGGCTCTGGCTAGGTAAGGAGAGACCTGGCAGAGAAGGGGGCCCCAGGGCTAAGGAGAAGGCAGGATTCCCCTGGGCCTGCGCGCCCTGCCCCGCCAGTCCTGACCTTCCCTCATGTCACTGACCCTCTAGGGTCAGAGGGCCAGGGTGAGGGCCTCCAGGGGTGTGAGTGGCACGTCCATCCCCCATGGGACGTGGATCCCATTATGTCCCCAGACCAGTTGGATGCACCACAGCCTCCCGGGCCGTAGGCAGTTAGCCAAGAAGGGAAAGGACAAAGATTTACCCTCAAGCCGCACAGATCTCACGGCTTCTGGCGATTCCTTATCAGGAGGCCGTGGGAAGAACACAGGGTCCAGACTGGCTCTGCTTCTGACGGGCTAGAGAGGAGCAGGCCCTTCTCCTCACCGGCCCTCATTCCCAGCTTTCTTCCTTCTGTTACACCGAGACTGTCTCCAGTCTCCCGGCTCTCAACGCTTCCTCCTGGGGTCCTGACACCCTCCCTGTGTTAAAGACATGGGCTTCCCCCGTGGCTCGGAACCTTGGAAGCTTCCCCCAGAACAAGGGCTTGAGCTCCCCAGAGCAGGGCAAAGTGGGATGGAAGGTGGACCAGCAGAGAGAAGGGAGGGAGGGCCCGCCGTGGGGCCGGAAGGCTGATAAACCTGTCACATGCGCAGGCAGCTGAACGTTCCCCGCAACTCCTTGCTGGAGAAGGGCCAAGCTCTCTACGTTCCTCCCGTCCTCCTCGCTCCCTGCCCACGGCTGGCCCGAAGCCAGCCCACAAACCTTCAAATGTTACTGCTCGGAGAGAGTCCTGTGAGGATGGTTCAAGAGGACCCAAGTCGGGTGAACCAGGCAGGCTCCAGAAGAGTGCAGGTGGCAGCCCATGGTCCCAACCTCTCCGCCGTTTGGCCAGAGACACACAGAGCAGTACTGTGGCTGAGCCGGACGGAGCATGAGACGGCAGAAGAGACCCAGGGAAGGATGGCATTGTTGCTAGGCAGGTGTCCAGAGCTGCTCACAGATCCTCATGACCACCAGCAAGGCCATTCTCCGGGCAGGAACACTGCAGAAAGTGAGGGCTTGGGCCTTGTCTCAGTCTGTCTTGTGCTGCTATACCAGATTAGAGCAGCTGGGTCACTGATCAACGACAGAAGTTTATTTGGCTCAAGTATCTGGAGGGTGGAAAGTCCAAGACTGAAGGCTGCATGTGGTGAAATGTCACATGCTGAGAGACTCAGGAGGGCAGGAGGGGGCCAGACTCCCCTTTATTACAGAGCCACTGTGGCAATAAATGAGATTAATCTGTCCGTGAGAACACAGGCCCTCACTTCCCAGAGAGCCGCTTTAAAGGCCTCACCTCTCCAGACTGAGTGAGGGCTGAGTTTCCCACACAGGCGCTTTGGGGGAGCTATTCAAACTGCAGCCTGCCTCCTGCGGCCCGGTGGGACAGACAGCACCGGCCGAAACTGCTCCCGCCCCAGGTCCAGAAAATGCGGCAGGCAGCTGGGCCTCCCTTGAGCGATGGGGTTGGGACCAAGACTAGGTATGTTTGCTTCCAAGACTGGTTAAGCCATGGATGAGTTAGTTCACAGCTGCATGGGCTAGTGGAGGAAGCGGGTCATGGGTGCGTGACGTCGGTGACTATATCTGGTCCCTGGCCCCTTTCTCTCTGGCTCTTCCCCCTTCTCTCTGCTTCACTTGAGCTGAGAGCTGCTTCACTTCAAGCTGCCATCACTTAAGCAGTTTTTTTCTGCTATGCTTTTCTGCTGTGATGTTTCTACCCTAGAGCCAGCAACCATAGATTGAAATCGCTGAAACTATGCCGGGCATGGTGGTGCATACACATGATCCCGGCACTTGGGAGGCTGAGGCAGGAGGATCACTGGGAGTTTGAGGCCAGCCTGGGATACATAGTGAGTTCAAGGCCAGCCTGAACTACCTAATGAGACCCTGTCTCAAAAAAAAGAAGAATCCATCTTATTCCAGAAAGAATGGCTGTCTTTAAGAAATCAAATAATGAATATTTGAAAGATTACATGGGGAAAGAATTCTCCTACATTGTTGGTAAGAATATAACCAGCATGACCACTGTGGAATCAGTTTGGAGATCCCTCAAAAAACTAAAAACAGAAATTCCATTTGACCCAGCTGTTCCCCTTCTACGTACCTTCCCCAAAGAGTTAAAGACATGATACTGCAGTGATACATGCATACCTATGTTTATCGCAGCACAAATCATTTTTTTTTTTCTGTCATTTTGAGACAGGGTCTTGCTATGCAGTTCAGGCTGGCCTTGAGTTCACTTTTGTCTTAGTTACTTTTCTCTCGTTGCTGAGACAAAATACCTAATGCCCAAAATGAAGAAAGGAAAGGTTTATTTAGCTTACAGTTTGCAGAGGTTTCAGTCCATACTTGGCTGGCTCCAAGGCAGAAGGTAGCAAAGCAACAAGAGCAAAGGGGCAATGGCAGCTGAACAGCAAAGTAGCCAGAGCAAAAGGGAGGAATGGCGGCAAGCAACTTCTTTCCCTGCCTTACATTGTAAACAGGCTACCCCCACCTAAGGGGCGTGTACCTCTCACATAATCTCCATGCCCTCCTCTTCCACAGGCTCAGGATGTATACAAAGTAAGCACCCTGGCTTCCTGCTGAGTCACTTAGCCAAACCTCTAGACTCAAGATGACACAATGTATCAACCATAAGAACTTTGTAGCCTAGGCTGGTCTCAAATTCACAAAGATCCTCCTGCCTCAGCCTCCCAAGTGGTGGATTAGAGGCTTGCGCCACCACACCCAGCTCTCACAGCACAAATCATAATAGCTAAATCTTGGAAGTAGTCTATAGGTCCTTCAACAGATGAACAGATAAAGAAAATGTGATATTTGTACATAGTGGATGTAGTAGATTGACAACTGGTAAACTGAGTGAGCGTGGTGCTGGGTATGGGAGGCCCAAGCCCTCAGCTAGATTTCTTGGTCTTAGTGTGTGGACTGACTTCCTGCACTCTCTTGTATATGATTCTTTGGGTGACTATTATAAACCACCTTATAAACTGTGTCCTGTATTATATTGTTTTCCCTTGCAAAATAACCCCGAAGCCATAACAATGGAGTACTACTCTGCCATAAAAGGATACATTTGAGGCATTTGTAGGAAAATGGGTGTATCTTGAGACCACAATGTTAAGTGAAATAAGTCAGATATGGAGGCAGATATATCACACAGTTTCTCTTATATGAGAAAATCAAAATTTGAATAAAGAGCAAAATAAAAGATATATAATAGGAAATAGGGCGATAAAGCTTTTTTTAAAATGAGAAGGGGATCAAGAAATGGAAGGAAGGGAGAGGGATGAGAGAGAAAAGGAATGAAAAAAGAATTAAGAGGTGCTAGTACATGTACCAACTCCCCCAAGGAAAGTAATCATTGTGTACTGCAAACATGTACCAATAAAGATAAAAACTGAAGAACAAGTTGTGTCAGGTATTTTGTCCCAGCAACTGAAAAGCTGACTAATACAAATGAGCTACACCTAGGCCTATTTATTCGTTTATTTTTTTGCAGTGTTGGGATGGCTGTGCAAGAGCTCTACTGCTGAGCTACTTCTCCAGCCCCCCTGCCCCATTTACTTTTTTAACAAGCTGTTGGGAGGCTGAGGCAAGAGGATCCTTGTGAGTTCGAGACCAGCCTGGGCTACAAAGTGAGCTCAAGGCCAGCCTGAACTGCATAGAGAGACCCTGTCTCAGAAAGACAAAAAAAAAAATCAAAAAGACAAACAAAACAAACAAACAAAAAAACCAAGCCCTTGGCCAGGCACTATTCTGATAGCTTTGCATTTCTATAATGCTATTAAATTTTTGAAATCTTGTTTATGTCGGTACATGTTTGCAATACATGATTACTTCCTTTGTGGGGAGTTGGCACATGTCCTAACACTCTTCATTCCTTTTTTATCCCTTTTCCCTCTCCTCCCTCCCCCTTCCTTCCATCTCTTTTTTTTGTTTTCTGTCTTTTTGAGACAGGGTCTCACTATGCAGTTCAGGCTGGCCTTGAGTTCACTTTGTAGCCCAGGCTGGTCTCGAACTCACAACAATCCTCCTGCCTCAGCCTCCCAAGTGCTGGGATTACAGGTGTGTGCCACCACACCTGG